ATGCGTTCATAGAAGATCAGAATAAAAACCACATTAGGAGACGCCCACGAAACACACGGGTGACTGAACCCGACGTTCAGTACGTCGTGTTCAACGTAATCCCACCCGTACGTATTTTTTATCGATTAATAACGCAAAGTAGTATCCGTGCCTTTATATCGCACTAACTACTGCACGCGCGACTTCGCTAATTTTATTATCCCCCGATATAAAATGATTCTTGCGCCGTGACTCATACTCCGTTTCGCAGCGAACGAGGAATTTTGTACAAGGTCGGGGGATCAGTAAGAACTAATGGATACTGCTTAAACGGAGATTAATGTCGAAATTCTTGCTCGTTCATTTAACATGATCCATTGCGGTTTACTTTGAATAAATTTTCGCAAACACGAACCTGCCTGTACAGACATTATTTCAATCTATTCTCTGAAACAGAACCGCGTGACATCCAGCGACTGCTCACCAAAATTATCGGCATGTTAAATCGGCCCGTGGAATCGTTGCTGGAGTCAATCGACGGTATTGGAAGGAACTGCAAAACGACGACTAATTCCTCCGTTTACTCGCGATCGAAAATTTTCAAAGTTTGTCGACACGCCACAGTCGTTTGTACCAGTATACAGAGTGGTTCGTCTTTATCGTGCGTATTTCACACGTTTTATATCTATATCTATATCTTATACAGATATCGTATCTTTCTTTCTTTCCCCCCCCCCCCCATAAATTCTCCCTTAAAAAATTTCGATCAATTATGCGACTACAAAGGCAAAGACTTTACCGTAAATTAATTTTCGAAAATAAATCATAAAATGATCGTCAACTAATTGCTATTTTAATAGTATTCTTTCTTTAAATTTCCATTAATTTTTCATCAACGTTAAAAATAAATGCAAAAATGTAAAATATAATAAACGTTTAGTCTTGCCTTTATAAAAGGCGATATTAATTTTAAAATTGATTAAAAAAGTTGGCGAATAAAGATTTTCTCGGACAATGTAATTCAGAAACACCCTGTACATTAACATAAGCCGATCGATCGCTCCATGGTACGATGTCCCGAATCCATATTCGGTGCCAGGATGCACCTGCCTGCCGACAAATCACCGAAGTTATTTCGCGGCAAAATGCAATTTAAGCTTTCATTAGAGAGAATCTGCGGTGGACAGAAGGCGATACTACGAAGAAGTAACCGCACTAAAGCTCGGAAAGAGAAATTTGCTCGAATTCCTATCTATATCGCGTATAGAGAAAGTCTTCTCTTCCCGCTTTCATACAGTGGGATTGCTTTGTCTGATATTGTCATCGCAAGTTATTAATCATCGTCCGATATCAGATTGTGTTTCTTTAAGTCGGTAGCTGAGAAGATATTGAATAGAAGGCAGCAGTAGGTCGAAAATAATTGCCTTGTAGTCTACTTATACTTATATATTCTTATTTGAAATAACACAGAAACACTATGTATAGACTATAAAATTAAAAATAGACTAGGCCGCAAAATAAATACTACTAAATGCAGTTTGATCTATTAAATATACACGAGAAGAATAATTTTGCTGAAATATCTAAAGATTTAGCTGAATATATATCTGAAAATAATTTTGTTGGATTATTAAAATAATTAAGTAGGACCCTCAAACGTAATGTACAATGTTGCAAAAAGTGGCATTCTTATCTAACAGTAACGAGCCTTTTAGATACAAAATTACTTTAATGATCTAACAAAATTATTTTTCAATCTGTATCTAATGAAACTTTTAGATATTTTTTTAAATCATCTTTTTTGTAAAGTTACTTGAAAATTTGCTATAAAGAATGACCGAAAGTTTGTTATTTTTTTAAATAAAAATTATATAAATAACTGAGATAAGGATCCTCTCTCTAAAGACTTTGTGCTAAGCAATGAAAAATAAACACACGTTTACGCCGAGAAGATAAGAGCACAATAAAGGACTTCGCACGGAATAGAAATTACTGATATCGCCGACGGTTGATTTCATATTTTACAGCAAAAGTAGTAATGTTTCAATACGCGCGTTACCTCACGCAACTTTCTCAAACGAGGTGATCGATAGATACAAGCATGCTCTCGTGTACACGCGTGTATACGAAGCGAATGAGTCACGCCGAGAGACGTAACCGCCACTCGCATATAGTACAGCTTGTAATCAAATAGAATCTCCGTACGATCCAGTGAGCAGGACGCAAAACCGTGAAAGTGCAGTCCTACACCCCGCGCAGAACTCGTTGCAATTCGAATCCGCGGATGCGACGTACTTAGAGATATATCACTTTAACGTATCTGAGCAAAATAGTTCACTGAATGTGTGTATCTTCGTAAAAACTAAAATAAAACATTCCATATTCTTCGATAAATGTTCTTAGGACACGTAATATGTTGTTTCGAAAAAAAGTTGACATGAATCTATAATGTAGATATTTAATGTATCTTGTGAACTTTTACTAATTTCTATTTCAAAAAGTTGCAAAATTGAGATCAAAGGTCTAATATTATCACTCGTATATATGTAATTATATTTTTTTATATAGTATTTCTTGTTTAAGGCAAATCTTGTCAATGTGTGCTAGAAATCGAGATCTCGAATGGAGAAAGAATTGACTAATCGCATTGCTCAAATGTGATTGGTAATTGTTAATTCTTTTTCTGTCCGAGATCTTGAATCGATTTCTAGTAAGAACTTGAACGAACACAAGGCTTAACACAAATTGAAGACTTGATCCTCATTTGTATCAATACTCTTAATAATATTATTATAGATATTACTATTAATATTAAGTACTACGTGCGTAATAAGCAATTCTGATTTCAGATATGTACTAGAAAATGATATTCCTCTCAAAGTGCGAGTGCAATTCTTAAGTAGCAACGCATCTCGTTTGATAGTTTATTCGTCTGTATCATTTGCGGGCCTATAAAGGTCAAGCTGATCAACCAGTCGAGACCGTTTCCGGCGAGCATTGGATGTCGCCAACGTGTTAGTCGAATGTAAACCGACCGCAATGGCGATACCGTTACCGCTTTTTAACGCGGTTAGCACGCGAACGAGCTTGCGGATTCAAACCACAACTCTTGCTTCTATGCGTTCTTGCGAATTCGATATTTATGCCCTCGGCTACCGACATCGAGTGAGTTCGACTTCAAGTCTGGGCGGTAAACAAAGAAAATGTGTATAAAGAGATATAACCTTTTACAAGCTGTTTTACTTTTTCATGGCACAAAACAAAATTTAGTCTAATGTTAAATATATTCTTAAAAAATAATTGTCTTAAAAAAATTACGATTTTTAATAATGAATTAAAATTATGTCGTAACATAATAATATTTCCACGAATTAAAATTATGTCAAGGCGTAATAGAAATCCTGAATTATTAGTGTGTGCCGTGACATAATAATAATTGCGAATTTCTATTATGTCGCGAAATAATTTTAAGCCGTCGCATAAAATTTGTGTTTTTAATATTATTAATACCGAATAAATGGCAAGCCGTTTTATTTTTAACAGCAGAAAACTATGCGAGTCATTTTACTTTTTAATAGCATAAAAGAAATTTAGTCTAATCAATTCTTGAAAAATAACTATCTCACAAACAATTACGATTTTTAATAATAAATTAAAATTATGTCGAGACATAATAAAAATTCAGAATTTCTATTATGCCTTGACATAATTTTAATTCATCGAATTACTATTATGTCGCGACATAATAATAATTCAGAATTTCTATTATGCCTTGACATAATTTTAATTTATGGAAGTATTATTTATGTTACGACATAATTTTAATTCTTTATTAAAAATCGTAATTTTTTTAAGACAATTATTTTTTTAAGAATTTAATAGTAGACTGATTTCTTTTATGCTATTAAAAAGTTAAACGGCTTGCCATAACCTTTCACCGACAAAATGGATCTTAAAACACCGTCGATATTTTGATTGTGAATTCTGATAGATAAATTTAAATAAATAAATAAAAAAACTCGTTAATATTTAACAAGTATATTAGAATTTTTCAGATTTGTATATAATCCAGAATAATAAAAAAAATCGCTCTGTTTCTCAAAGATCCATATTGCTGATAAAAAAGTTAAAAAATATTTCCACATTGCCAAGTTAATGAAAGCGATAAAGATTAAGGCGTTGATAAGAATTTAGTTAATTAAAAAAAAAACGCAGATGTATTTTACAAAATACATAGAAAAAATTTAGAGTTTAAAATCTTTAAATGCTCTGCTCAAAATTCTAAAAATAAAGAATAACTCCAATTTCTTGTTTTACCTTTGTGTCAATTAAAAGCCGAAATTTCTGCTGAGGAAATGCTTTTCTTCTTTCGAATAAAAAATAAAGTGGGAAATTAGCAATACCCTAATTGTGCAGAAAACGCCTGCCCTGATTGGGGATCTATTGGAGCGACCGCGACAATGGCACCACGTTGCAGTGTGTCCGTGAAATCCGCGTCTGACACTTCCTCGATGTTCATAGAATTTGAGACGACATCGGTTATCTCGCTTCCGAACGATGTGGAAGTTGTCGACGTCATTGTTGTGCTCTGTAGATTTTCGCCTGCAATATGCGCATCGTCGGGGAAAAGGGATGGAACTAAGACATTGCAACTGACGTTTCCCATCGCATGCTAAAGACTACTTGATTCTAAGATTTATCGACTTAACGTTATTTATATAGATGAATAGTAGAACCTTCAAAATCAATTATAAATAAAAAAAAGTAACTCTAGCATAAAGTATCTAAAGAAATTACATCTATCTCGTAATTTCTGAATGCCGGCTAGTCGGGCTTACTGCAATTTATTAAATATATCGCGCATTTAAAAAAAGCCTTTTCAAATCAATTTAAATAGGAAACTGAAGATATTTTTTATAATTGACTTGATGAATGTCGAATATATATTTATAATTGGATTTATAATTGATATTAAATATACTATACGCGTCTAAAAGATTTTTAAATCGAATTAAATAGAAAATTGAGTACGTCTTTTATAATTATCGACTCGTAATAAATTGAAACACCACGATCGATATATTCCAGGCAAATTTAAATTAGGATAAGCTTACTCAGAATCATTTCTAAAAATATCACGAGCGCCAATATTTTACGTGCATCGTTCTATGTATATCTATCTTATAAATAAATCAGCATCAACAGTTAAATTCTGTAAGGTCTTACTCGTCGGCTCTGTTCTCTCAAGATCACGATCGAAGGTACTCGCGGAGAGGACGATAGTGTTCGTAACGGAGGTCGAGGGTTCATCGGGGTCTTCGGAGAAATAACTGGCGAGGTCTTGGTAAGATTCGCGCGTCCTTGCAGCATCCATAGGATGATGCTCGAACTGATAATCCGAGGTATTGCTCTTTTCCGTATCTTGTTCGTTCAGCGTGGATGCTGACGAAGAGAGAATGTAAAAGGAGTATTTTTTAATATTCTAAAATATAAACTCTCCTTTAGAGAAAATTCGATAAAGATATATATTTCTCTCGTTGATATCAAACGTGATATTTTTACCACTGTCAACATTCGCAAGTTCGTCGATTTTCTCGAGGACAGGTCGATTTTTTCGCGGATTATTATTACTGCAAATTTTGCAATTTTTGTAATTCACAATCTCCGCTTCGGATTCCCTCTCGCTCCTTGATTTCATAAAACGCTTCAAAGGATTATGAAAGGTGGGCAGCTTCGATCTAATCTGTGCATTGTGTTCATTAGACGATGTTTCCTCCCGAAGGTAAAATACGCATTTCGCCCCTTCATCATGTCGCAAAGCCGATTAAATTGTTCAATTAATATTTCATTAACCGGCTTACATAATTGTCTGGGCATTCAAGATACATTATTATTTTGTCACTGGACATTTATGAAGTCGAAGTTTCCACAATTAATGCGATTGTAACAGATGATTTTATTGAAGTATCTTAAATTTAGATACACGGAAATGTTACGGTTGCCTCAACCGAAAATAATTAATGATATTTTTCGTTTATCGATATAATTTGATAAAAACTATAGTACAGTTATACAACAGTCGTACCGTAGTTCTTATAACTAAATTGTATTGATGGGTAGAAAATATCATTAATTATTTTCAGTTGTGGCAACCATAACGTTTTTTTCCATGTAGCTAAATCATAGACATAGATTTGAAAATTATTTTCTTCGGCAAAATTATTCATTCTATATAAGTACGGAAAACTTGTATTAATTATGTAACAGAATATGATAAAAAATTACAACGCAGAAGTCAGAACATATGTAGGATGTTCTACAATTCATATCTCTCTCCATTTAATTAATCGTAAATTCTTTAAATACAGTTAGCCCTTTATCTATAAAACTTTCAGGAAGTCAGCTTTATTTATACTTATTTTAAAAGTGCAATAGGTACCGAATAATACACTTATTACATGTTAAATATTTAATGGGATATGAGAGATAAAAAATATAGTAACTTATTCTTAAACTGATATTGCAATTATAAATCGCTTCATATATAACAACTGAAACTGTTGACGAAGTGATCGAAAATAGAACTGTTGCTTAGACAAGCAAAATATCTAAATTCTTCTCTTCAAACATTGTATTATACATTATCTTTCAACTTCCTTCTGTCGAAATCCTAAATATTATATTCTCACCTTCTGTTTCATTACGGAGAATAGAGATTTTCTATCGGAATGATTAACGGATGTATGATCCACGGGATCTCGTCGTTTCGGGGTATCCGAACTCTTCGAGGCTTCCCTATTGATTGTACTCATATCTGAATCACATCGTTGATAAAACCTCTTTTATCACAATCCTACTTATCAATTTGAACGTCGCACATTTCGATATCGACCATTGCATCCGATCGGTTGGCTTTTGTCCCTCATCATTAATGCTGTTAATACAGATACTTTAAACATTCAATATAGAATAGTTAGAATAACGAGACTTCAAATTATAGAAAATAGTAGAATAGATATCTTCTCCGAGTGCCCAATTTGCCATGGCAAATTAAGCTGAATAATAATATTTTGTTACTGGATAATAATATTTTGTACGTAATATCTTATATACAATATTTTCTCAACGCAACAATAGTTTCAAATGAAAAAGAAACTCGCTGTCATAAAATAGAATATTAGGAATATTTTAATACTGATAAGAAAGTACAATATAAATAAATTAAAAAAAAAACGTCTATTAATTAAAGTCTTTATAAATAATAAAAACAAATTGCAATATAAAAGCGAGTATATGATTTACATTATATTTATTAAGTAAATTAAGTTTCTACGTATTTCAACGTGATAATTTGAAACGAAAGAGAAATTTGATATGGCAAATTAGAATACTTATAGGAGTATAATTAGAATATATTTATCAATAAGAAACTACAATACAAAGAAATTGATAAACGTCTATAATTCAAGTTTTTACAAATAACAAAAACAAATATTCTAAAACCCACGTTTATGGCTATCGCACGCGTGACTGTCATGTAAATGTAATTACACAGCCGTCGACGAATTCATGTTTATATAGATTTCTTATTATGTTTTCCTTTACAAAGAGCGTTCTCGGAGTATTACCGGTTCTCCTTAGTAAACATAACGATCGATACTAAAACCACTAAGAAAACTTATCGACAACTTGGTCGCTTTCAAATCTCGAGCAAGGAAGTTGAAAATATTGAATTTTTCGGCATCGAGAATCGAGTTAAATAGAATGTCGCGATGCAAAACTCGACCCAGAATCGAGGAACGAGATTGGGACGTGAACGAAAATAAAATCAGGAGACACGATTATAACACAATCATTAAGTATGTTGAATTTGCACTCGGATATTATGTTAAAAATTCAACACAAAATTATAAGACTTGAGTGGACCGTTTTTAACACAAACACAAAACAATAATACGTTAGAAACAAGTCACAGAATAAATCAGTTAAATAAGAGAAGCGTCACTTACAGTCGGATGTTGAAATAAAAAAATACGTACAGGGAGTGCAAAAAGTATTCGTACAGAGAAAATATTTTTTAAAAAAACTTCATTTTTAAAAAGTAAATATTATTCAGCGGGAAATAAGTCATCGAATTGATGTCAAATCGATATAAATAGGATGATTTCAACATTAATTTAATTGTCGATCATTAACAATTTATTCATAAAGAATAAAATAGACTGTATATTTCTTAAAATTATATATACTAAAAAAATGTATAAATGAGACTTTATAACAAATTTCGTTGTACGAATACTTTTTGCTCCACTGTATATATACAGAGTGTTAGTTAAGTATGTTGCCATACTCAACGATTCTTTGGTTTATTTCAAGTAAAACAGTCCATGTAAACATGTTAAAAAATCCTAAACGGCTTAGTTTCCGAAATACAGGTGAATATTCGCAAATGTTTGACGAAACGGTAAATTGTGCTGGAGATATCTTTCTGCATAAATATGCCTTGCTTCACGTGAGTTACCATTCGCACAATCGTAAACAAAGTGACGAAGTCAAAATCAAAGCCTCCTAGATCATCAGACTTAAATTCTTTGAATTATTTCCTTTGGAGGTATCTGAAATCATTGGTTTATACTATCCTAATTGAAAATGAGAATGATTTGAGGAATCGAATAGTTGCTTCATTGCGAGGCAATACGCAACACATTTGGTATCTTTGAGTGTGTACGTCAATCTTTAAGAAGAAGGCTCGATGGATGTATCATTGCGTAAGGTGAACATTTTCAACAATTCTTCTAATTGTTTTATTTCAGAAGAACTGAAGCCTATTTTTCTGTTTTTGACTAGTTTTTCACTAGTTTCAAGCTGTATTTCTTTCAAATAAATAGATTATTACTCTACACGTTTAAATTTTATTTCGGAAACTAAGCCATTTAAGACACATGTTTATATGGACTTTTTTACTTGAAACAAACCAAAGAATCGCTGTGTTGAGCATGGCAACATATTTAACTAACACCCTGTGTGTGTGTGTATATATATATAT